AAAGAGGAACCCTGCTCTACTGCTGGCGGAGTGTAGACTGGTGCAACCACTGTGGAAATCAGTATGGAGATACCTCAGAGAACTAGGACTAGAGGCCCCATTTGACCCAGCTATTCCCCTGCTGGGTATCGTCCCCAAAGAATTAAAAGAATTATAGCACAGTGATATATGTGCACCCATGTTTATAACAGCACAATTTGTAATAGCTAAAACTTGGAAGCAGCCCAAATGCCCATCAACTAGAGACTGGATAAAGAAAATGTGGTTTTTTAATAAAATGGAGTACTGCTCAGCCATAAAAAAAGGGAAATTAGAGACATTTATAGCTGAATGGATGCACACTGAGGCGATAATCTTAAGTGAAATCAATAGAACATACATGTGTAAATCCCCGGATAGTTTCTCTAGTTTGAGAAACTGAAAGTGTAAATAAGGACTAAAAGGTATAACAGATAATGTGATATAGGAAGAAAAGGGGCAAAGGGGAAAGGGGAAGGGGAAGTGGGAGGGGTAGAGGAAAGAAGGGAATGGAATATGAGAAAAGGAAAAAATGAAACGAAGTCTTTGTAAACAGGGAGGGATGGAGGGTTTGAAGGGAGAGCAGGGGAAGGGGGAAAAATAAGAACCAAGAGATTATGTAAAGGTGCAAATTTCCAATGATGAATGTCATTATATTGTATACATAAAATGTACCAATAAAATAAAATTTAAACCATAAAAAAAAAAGAGCAACAGAGGGGCTGGGGATTTAGGTCAGTGGCACCGCACCTGGCTTGCAAGTGCAAAGTCCAGAGTTCGATCCCCAGTACCACCAAAAAAAAAAAAAAGGCAACAGAAACTATTGTCTACAATTGGTGAGACATTGGCTATAAGAAGAATTGAAGATAAAGTGCTGTGGTTGAATACAGTGTATTAACTGCATTTGACTGGAGGTCATAGAAAGCTTCACTAAGATTTAAGAGCTAAGTGCTAAATCAGCAAAAATGTAAATGAGAAATGAAGGGAAAATGTCAAGGGCTTGTTGGGTAGATTAGAGGAGTAGGGACTGAGGGGAAATTCTCAGCAAGCGGAAGAGATGAAAATGCCTACTCTTTAGTGGCTTTCACTAAAAAAAAAAAAAAAAGGAAAAATTAAACACTGGATAAAATACACACTAGCAAACCCTCAATTCACACATCTATGTTTTCTAAAATACTCATTTAGTGTCCTGATCAGCTCTGCCTAACCAGAGATTTAGATCTTCATCTTCCCTAGAGTTATGAGGGAAAGGTTCCAGGTTCCAAGTTCCAGTTCCAGGCAGAGCTAGTGACATGCAGAACACACAGGTAGGAACAAGCTAATCATAGTCAAGAATCTGAAACAGGCATCTACTTGAATAACTTGGCCATAGTTTGCACTTGACAAATGATTATTCAGTGAGAAAGCAAACGAAACCTGGGATATCAAATGTTTTCTCAGGCTTTCAAAAATCAATCTGGTATCACATGCCTGTAATACCAACTACTTGGGAGTCTGAGGCAGGAAAAGTGCAGTTTGACCCCAGCCTGAGCAATATGGTGAAATCTTTTCTCAAAATAAAAATTAAAAAGGCCTGAAGAGCCAGGCTGGTGGCACATAACTGTAATCTCAGTAATCAAGAGGCTGAGGCAGGAGGATTGTGTGAGGCCAGCCTGGGCTACACAGGGAGACTGTGCCTCAGAAAAATAGAAAGCTGGGGATGGCTGGGGATTTAGCTCAGTGGTGCCGCTAACTGCCTCACAAGTGCAAGGTCCTGAGTTCGATCCCCAGTACCAAAAAAAAAAAGCTGGGGATGTAGCTCGGCATTACTTGGGTTCCACTCTTTTTATTTTTTTTTTATTTATATCTTTATTGGTACATTTTAGGTATACAATACATTTATATTTATCATTGGGTGCTTGTACCTGAACATGCTGTACCTTAGTTCTTATTTTTTCCCCCATTACCTGCGTGCCCTTCACCCTCTCCACCCTTCACTATTTACAGAGACTTTGTTTCCATTTTTTTTTCTTTCTCATAATTTTTCCTTTCCCTTCTTCCCTTTCCCCGTCCCCTCCCATTGGGTTCCACTCTTAATAGGAAGGAATCAATCTGTTTTCAACTGAGAGGCCATTAAATCTCCCTTACTTTCTTATTTTTTTCTCAGCTTTCCTTCCAGTCATGCCACCTTCAGATTCAGATTACAATGCTTTATCTAGTCTACTCCTTGAGACATACAAGTCTCTCTGTGGTACTTTTTCTCATATATAGACATACAAACAGTTAATTCCAAGCTTTCAACTTTGTTATCTTTTAACCCAGTAATTATTTCACTGAGTCAGAGGAACATCTTATATATGGTTAGTCCAGCCTCTTTGCTCATGAAAGCCTTTGAACATAAGGCCATTGCAGCAATATGCTAAAATATAGTTGTGTCTCAGTTTTCCTTAGGGGACTGGTTCCAGGATCCTATAGGAAACCAAAATCCAAGGATGCTGAAGATCCTGATACAAAATGGCAGAATACTTGCATATAACCTATGATCATCCTCCTGTAGACTTTAAATCATCTCCAGCTTACAATACTTAATTATGTAAATAAACCTACTGTATTATTTATGAAATCACAAAAGTCTGTACATGCTTAGTACGGATTCAATTTTGCCCCAAATATTTTTGATCTGCTGAACCTACAGATATGGAGGCGGAGTGTATATTCCATCATAATTTTATCTTTACCTTAGACCCATTCTTGTCTGTTTCTACATTAAAATGACCCTGAGCAAGACAATCCTCTCAGCCTTGATAGTACCACCTGGAAAACAGGTATAATACTGCCCTGCCATGTTCACAGGGCTGTTGTGAAGACAAAATAGCAGAAGGATTGGGAAAATCTAATAATAACTCATATTTATTTTATTCAGAGCCAGACACTGTACCGAGCTTCAGAATGATGAACCGACAAGAGAAGTAAACATGGAGCCAGACACTGTACCGAGCTTCAGAATGATGAACCGACAAGAGAAGTAAACATGGAGCTGAGGTAAGCTTTGGGTGTATTCTAACTGCAAAGTGAACAACTCAAAGTGCACCGAGCGAGGCAGAGTGGAGGGGTTAAATGGCTCGGACTTCTGAGTCGGGCTCTATCCCTAACCTTGTAATCTCAGATATCACGTAGCTTTTTCTTTTTGTATATCCTTTTATTAGTACATTTTAGGTGTACAATATAATGACATTCATCATTGGAGATATGCACCTTTACATACTCTTCTTGGTTCTTATTTTTTCCCCCTTCCCCTGCCCTCCCTTCAACCTCACGCAGCTTAATCACTTTCAGGTTCCGCTTCCTTTTCCGTGGAACGGGGATCACAGAACGGGTTCAAAGTGAACTGTGATGATACATTCAAAAGGCTGAGCAGTGGTGTCTTGGCACGCATTTTAGTTTTCATCATTCTATTTGTTTTTAACAATTTAACGGCAGTACCAAGACGTCTGGGGCGCAGGGAAGTTTGGTCTGGAAGCCTGGAGTCTGGGGGATCGCTGAGTGGCGCGGCACTTTGTGGACAAAATTCTCCTTTTCAGGGCTTCGGTTTCCCGCCTCCACAAAAACTTGTGGGCTGGCTGATCTACACTCACTCCCCGCTCCGCTCTTCCGGGCGCCAGGCTGGGCAGCGACCCTTCTCGGTGGGGAAACTCCCACCACCCCCATAGGCTGGGGCGGGGGCGGGGCGGGGTGGGGCCCGGCGAGGGTCCGTCCGGCCGCCCACCTGCACCGCTCACCTCTAGGCTGTAGTTGCCCCGGATAGCGGTGAAATCATCCAGGGCTTCGGCTGCGCTCTCCTCGTCGAGGTTCAGCTCCTGGCACAAGGCCTGCAGTGCCTCCCCGGCCGCGGCGACCACCGCCGCCCCCTCTGCGTGGGGCGCGTCCTCGAACATGCCCTCGGGAGGCGCTCCGCAGCCGCGGTTCCTTTCTCCCTCCCTGGCGCACTACCCACAACTACCCGCGACAAAGCGCGCGAAAATTAGCTGAGCACAGTGTATCCCTTCAATCGTCTGCTTCCGCATTTTTCCTTTTAAAAAAAGTCCATCTCTTCTCCAAAGCAGATAGTCGGCCCTGTTTGGAAATGTGATAAGGAGACGAACCTCAGACCCTAGTTGGATCTGTCTTTGGCCGCTGACGGGCAAAGAGAACCCCGTGGGAGAGAGGGAAGAAACCGAGGGAGGAAGGACGCGAGGGCGGAGGGATCCGTGTGCAGAGCCCACTGGAGTTGTAGTCCCTCTCTGCCTGGAGGCGCGGAGCCGTACTCTTGTTGGCTGCCTTTGCCTGTGGGCTAGCTTCGCTGGCAAGGCAGGGTTGGATGAGACAGGCTCCTAGTAGCACTGTGGCCTCGGTCACTCTGAGAAGACTTCTCTATTCCGACAGCCCTCGGGCCCTGGGTTTGTCACTGCCCCGGAACGATAAGTCTAGACTGAGCTTTGCTCTTTAAATTAGGAGGCGGCGGAACAGCCAAAAGTGGTCCCTGAACGCTAAAGGGCCTCGTCAGACTCTCCTCCAAGTCTGCAGTGCCCACAGAGTGGTCTGCTGAGCCGAGTTAAAGGACTGGTGAAGCAAGGATACAGTGTTAGGGACCCCGCCCCGTGTCATCTTAGTCTCAAAGGGGGCCCCTTTCTCCGCTCTCTGGACAGTGGAAACAGTTATTTCAGGAGGAGTAATGGGGGAGGAATGGCCTGAGCATTAGCCTGACGCCAGAAAGATGTTTTAAAAAGGTAAATCGGCCTGTCACTCCTTCCCTCAGAATCCTTCAGGAGCTCCTTCTTGGCCTTAAAATTATTCACCTTTCCATGACCCACAAGGCCTACCTCATCTGATCCATTGATTACACCCCAATCACCCCCCCCCCACACTACATACACATATCAATTCAGACTTTTTTAAACCTTGAAAATACTGAGCTACCAAGCTAGTTCTTGCTTCAAAGCTATTCTCACATTCTGATTAAACTGCCTGCAGAATCTCTTTTTCAGATCTTTGCTTGTCTAGCTCTTTTCATCATTCAAATCTAACTAAATGTCACCTCTGCAGGCCATCCCTGACCACTCTGTCCAAAGTAGTTGACCCCTCCCAACACTTCCTTTTATTATCTCCACAGCACCTTATCACTATCTGAAATTATCTTATTGACTGGATCTTCCTTCTAAAATAAGTTACATAAGAGCAGAGACCTTCCTTTTGTCTTCAGTGTATTCCCAAGTTTAGAATAGTACTGGGACTTGTTACTTAGCATAGTGTTTTTGAAAAATTACAAAGTGCCTATTGTTGCTTGAATGAGGGAGAGTCACCAGGGAGGAAAACTGAGATTATGATGGACTTCATATGCTCTGCCAAAATCCTGAACATTATCTGCAAGGGATTGGAGGTTTTAACACAGGTTAGTGATAAATGATCCTTCTGTGTTTGGTCAGGTTCTTCTGGCCGCATGGATTGAATGGAATAGAGACTAGAGGCTTGGAAAAGGTGAGGAACTGACTGGCCCACCAAAAGGAGCCAGCCTGGAGTGGAGACTCTGGCTTAGTCTGATGGAGGCACTGATAAAGAGGGTGGAGTCTTCAAAATCATAGGTTTCTATCTGCACCTAGTGGGTAAAAGATGGTCCTGCTAAGTGGGAAGGGAGTACAAGCAGAAAGATGAGGTAAATTATTGAGCTCTTGAGTTTTGGGATACTTGCAGCAAGATTAAGTAGAGGCTGTTGAGACCCAGCAGGTGGCACCTCCTGGAAGTTTCCCAATCTTTTATCATTCCCTATATATGGACAGGGAACCAAATGAGCAAAACTCAGACTACCCCCAGAAACCCAAATCAATCTTGTTTTAGTTACTTTTCTCTCACTGCTGAGACAAAATACCTGACACTCAAAGTTAAAAGGGAAAGGTTTATTTGGCTTATAGTTTGTAGAGGCTTCAGCCCATAATCAGCTGGCTCCAAGGCAGGGTGGCAAAGGGACAACAGTTCATGGCAGCAGAAGACAGCAAAAGCAACAAGGGACCTTAACAGTGTCATTCTGCCCCTTTTATCTTACTCAGACTATTTAGGATGGGTAGCGCCCACGCCCTTAACCCTAATGCCCTCGGGCCTATCCCCACCATGAATCACACACTATAGCTTCAGCCACCTCTTCTTGGAGGCCAATCATTCCTCCAACTGCCTAGAAAGGAGGACAGGGAGAGCTAAAGAAAAATAGACAATAGAGGCCTGTGTAGTTTCAAAGTATATGGAGGGCTGGTGAGGGCAGAAATTGTCTCGCTGTGTAAAAATGGGCAACTATGGGTTAACTGTGTAACCATGCTTGCTGAGAAAGATATATTGTAACTATAGTCACTACTGTCATGCAAACTCACTAGAGCAAAGCAATCTCAGAAAGCCCTGCCAAACCTCCTTCTCCCCTCTTAATTGCCCCTTTGTTTATATAATTATGTTTACATTGATAGCTGCCTCCCCCAGTGATTATGGTTGCTGTTTCCCCCTCCCACAGAAACATAAAGGTATAAAAATGAGAGTAAACTTCTGTTTGACACTTTCAAGGTGATTTGAATCCCTTGAAGCCACCGGCAATAAAACTGATTTTTGCTCCTACTCGTGTGATCAATGGTCTGTCTGGAGACCCCCAAATGATCACACTTCACTGGGAGGTCAGTGCCTCAGAGTGGGGAAAGACAAGACACTCCAAGCTTTCTACTATTTATTGAGTTCAAAGGGAGTATGGATGACTGAGAACAATAATCCTAAATTGATGAGAATCTTATAATGGAGGAAGAATTCAGATGACTCAGAAGGTGGTGGTAATCCTATGAGGTTGAGGATTTTAGGTCAATGAGGAGCTTATGTTGATTAGGATGGTGAGATGAGCAAAACACTCTTACAACAGTAGGTGAGATAAGTTAAGCTGATTTGGAATTTGCCCCTGCCCAGATGAAATCTTTCTCTTTTTGTATTACTACTTGATTCTCAAAGAACCAGGATGTCTTCAGCTGATGTAATCTTGCACTTGAGTGTCACAACATCATGGAACCCTTGAGGCCTCAGCTTTGGCCGGAAGCAAAACGGAGTTGTTTCCACATGCCATAGCTGGCCGAGCGGCAAGAAGACTGGGCCTCAGACAGCCCTAATCATAATTTAAGTGTGAAATTATTTTTCCCCAAAATTATGTAGAATGGCTCCCAACAACCTCTGAAAAAACATGAGGCTTTGGAGAGGGGCATCTAAACACAATCCATAACAAATCTGAACTATCCAGCTAGTACTTCCAATTCTGCTTCTTCTAGAAGGTGCTACTGCAGCAGACTTCAAGACCATCTCATTTTTCTCTGGAGGGGATGTTAATATAAAGGTCTGCATGGAGATTTTCATGAATTTTTCCTTACTTAAGAGGATTTGTGTTAGGACTCAAGGGAGGTCTATCTCTAGTGCCGAAGAGTCAGAAACAAAGGCTATTTTCCCTCCTAATTTCTTTATTGTGAAGAAAGAAATGTCAGCATTAGTGGAGATGAGATGAAGATCCTCCTGTAGTGATTCCTCTTTTCTAATTAACCTACTGTGCTTATTTAAGGGAATGTCCAACTTAGCACAGAGCTCTGAAAGTGAGGGTAGCCTGGACATGGAGATCTGGAAGTGTTTAGGTGGTATCTGAAGCTAAGGGAGCAGGTTGATCTCCAACACATGAGAAGAAACTCAAAAGTGGAATCCTTGGAAACACCAGCATTTAAGGGATTGGCAATTTTTGAGAAGTGAATGAGAAAGTGAATGGCCAGGGAAGTATACAAATAAGTGGTACCTCAGAGACAAGGAAAGAAGTGTTCTGCAAAGCCGAAAGCAGAGTAAAATTCAAATAGGAATTCACAGATGATCTCATAAAGTATCGTGGCTATGTTTTGATGACCTTTGTCAAAGCAGTGTTCCTTGGCATAGTGGGAGAAGACTTTACTGTGGTTGAGGGGCGAATGGGAGGAATGTCAGAAAGTTAAAATAGGAAGCAAAAGCTTCTCTGTAAGAAGTTTAATGGAGGGCCCGGGATTTAGCTCAGCGGTTTCGTCGCCTGCTGCGCAAGCGCAATGACCCGAGTTCGATTCCCCCGTACCAAAAAAAAAAGAAGTTTAATGGAGGAGGTGTAAAGGATAAGGTATTTTCCAGAATAGGGAAAAGTCAAGTATGTGAATAATCAGGCAGGACCAGACAGAGACTAAAGATAAAAGAGACCATTGATACAGCCAGGCAATGGAGAAGGTTGCTAAACTGGGAGTCAAGAGTCTGGCCTTCATCTTCGTAGTTCTGTCTAGAAGCTACATCTAGATTAAGCAGGACCTGCAAGGTGCTTTACTGAATGGAAAACATCAACCTACTAGGGAGTTTGGTAAAAGTTAGGAACAACTGCTGGGAAGTATCACTGAGTCTGTCAGATGCAAACATGGTCGGAGTTTTTTTGAGAAATAAGTCTATACCATCAGATCTTGACTTTCAAAGATGAGTTGAGAAGCCTCAAGTACTTTGATTTTTCTTCTAGCTAACCAGTCCCTTTTGACCAGATCTGAATTTTTGAGGGGGATACCTTTTTAGTGGTTTTAAAAAATTTATTTATTTATTTATTTATTTGGTACCGGGGATCAAAGTTGGGACCTTGTACTTTTTGTTTGTTTGTTTGTTTTTGGTACTGGGGATCGAACTCGGATCCTTGCACTTGCACAGCAGGCAGCGAAACCACTGAGCTAAATCTCTGGCTTTTTAGTGTTTTTTTAATTGTATATTTTAGATATACATAATGACAACATTCATTATAGAGAATTTGTAGTGTACATGCTATATATTGATTATTCTTCTTTTCCATTCTTCTCCCCTCCCTCCAACTCATCCTCCCTTATTTACAAAAGCTTTGTTTCCATTTTTTTGTTCTATTCTTTTTTTTTCCTTGTCCCTTCCTTCTTTTTCCCCTCCCTCCTCTGTAGTTTCCCTTCCCAGTTGAATGTTTTCTTCCTATTTCACAATCTCTTATACATTTTGGTCCTTACTTACACTTTTGGTTTCTCACATCAGAGAAACAATGTGGTCCTTTAAAATGTGTGTCCAATTTATCTCACTTCAGAGTATGGTCTTATGTGCATCCATTCGCTAGAAACATCTCAAGCTTATCCTTCTTTGTGGCAGAGTAGTACTCCATTGTA